TCTTTTTAGTCATCATGTTCTTATGCGGACACCTCCTATACCTGGCCTGTGAAGATGTCAGTACATTTTCCATGTATATTGATAGTTGATACTTCTGACCTCGTGCTATACAGAAGCATATGATTAAGATAATTTTGCAAGCCATTTTAGTTTACACGACAATTTATACGGTATGGCTCAATATATACTTGTAAAATCGTATTGTGTATCTCTATCTGCTCACTGTTGATTACTTGAAATAAGAACCCAAGAAATCTTATTCAACTCAGTGTTACTGAATCATGTCTTCTCAAGTTCTAACTTTAATTTTTTTAATTCTCTGTTTCGTTGTTAAGATTTTCAGAAAAGACTTGAAATGGTGCCCTATGTTTAGCAAGCTAAAAACAGTGTTGCTCAATGAATGGTGTTTGACTGCAAACTTCACTGGACTACTTTACTTTCTTCAGCACGCACCAATTCTAGAAAAGCTTACCCTTCAACTTCCATCTTGCAAGGTATATGTTTTTTCATATATGATAGCTTTTGTCGCTGAAGCTAACATGTACAGCTGATTCATCTAAGTAAAATCATATGTTTTGGACAGGATTTTGACATTGGATCAAATGGAAGCTACAGCCCAGCGGAATATTTCTTGGTGCCAAAGCATCTCAAGGTAGTTGAAATCCATTGTAGCAAGGAGGATGAATGGACTTGTCAAATTGTGAACATCCTTGGCACTCATGGAGTAACTTCTGTACGGAACAGGGAGGATGAATGGATTTGTCAAATTGTGAACATCCTTGGTATTCATGGAGTAACTTCTGCGCAAATTAGCATCAAACATGATTCTCGGAATTCTTTCAGTAAGTAACTAATACTACAATTTGCTGATGTTTATGTAGTCTGCATGTGTCATCAGAATCAAAAAGTAAACCTGATGGACATTAAACTATTTGGTAAATTGAGAGATTAAAAAGTCTACTAGAGTGTTGTATGATATCCACTTTACATATTTTATTGAAAATGTGATTTGGCCAAAGCGAGTGACATATTTTTACTGAAAATGGGATTAGGCCAAAGCAAGTGAAAAAAGGAAAATAGGCAAATAAACAATGTGAGATATTTGTTCACTGTTTAGTTGAAATGGATCATTTAATGGCTCATCTTTCCAGTATCTGTATAGTGAGATCAATTTGTATGTTGGCCCACTGTTCCAAAACAATTTCTTATGCAATATTTGCTTGACATTAGTGCCGGTTGCTGTAGACCTTCTCATGTTTTAGTCTGCACTTTCATTTTCTCATTGTGCTCTCTATGGTTGTCGCAGGGTTCAGTTTCCAGCAGACGAAGTAGATCAGATGGTCTACTGTTCCTGGTTATTCAGGCTTCGATGTCCCTGAATTAATGTTCCCAGCATGAGGTTGCTACGTGTAATCTATCTGGATCGTGCGCTTGTCCCTGATCCATTCATGTGCAGGATGAACGCCCGTCGGGACGCAATTTGAATAGGTTCAAATGTCGCTGCAGTAATGTTGCATTTTTGGTCGGTGTCGGGCCTCAACTGATTTACCTGTTGAAGGCCTATGATCTATTTATATGTTTCAGCAAAGCAACCTGTATGTCTAGCTTAACTTGTGTAAAATGGTACCTGTTCTGTTATATGGAGTAAAACATTTATGACGCCAGGAATACTGCTTTAGTCTTTTTGTTGTTATTAGTTGGTTTCTTCACGTCACATGTTTGGCACTCTGCACTTGCTAAGCATGCTTGTTTGTCATTCTGCTAGATCGGTTCTTCGAGACCTGAATGAGATAGATCTGCATGCCATCAGCTATATATAAGTAGTTCAACACTTCAATTTGTGGCCTCTATAATACCCAACTGCATTTAGTATGGCTTCAATCTGTTACTCCTAAAAGTTATGTTGCTGGTCGTGTCTTGCTTTTGGAGTGACAACCTGCTATGTTGCAACTTGGCTGACTTTCAGGGTAAGATATCAACGTAGCAAAAGAGATGAGAAACTAAGTAATTGAATGATGGCACAATTTGATTTCTTGTAAAGGCACAGTTGTATTCTTCTTCTGCAAGCTAATGGAAAGGCGAGATGCATGGGACCTGAAAAAGGTTACGTTTGAATGGTTGAAGTAGGATCCTTTCTTTTGAGATTTTCAGCTTGGGTCTTGTTCACAGGCAGCAGAGCACACTTTGTTATATTTTTCTTGCTCTGCTATTGGGTGCAGAAGAGAGTTAACTAATGCAAATGTGCCATTGATGGTACTGCTGCTGCTGTCTATGCAGCCAGGGCCAGGCTCACCCTTAAGAGACACTCTAGAGTCTAATGTAAGCGTCCATGCTACTGGCTTTACTGAAATCTCTCATGATGGACCTTTTTTATGATGATTTCAGTCAGAGATTTTGCAAAGACCTCACACTCGACTGCCCCTAAGAGCAAGTTGAAGCTGGTGTATTAGAATTTTATCAATGGCAGTTCTAAATATGATGCAAGGATACACAACTATTATTCAAAATCTGATGTATATTTACGCCGCTCATAATTTGAGCTAGATTATTTAGAACATTGTAGGCTAACTTTTTAATTAATATCGTTTAGGCTCACTTGTTGTAGACTATTTTTTATTTAGTAATTTTTAGGATATAGTTCTTTTTATACATTGAATAAGAACATCATCGACCTCTGCAATGGCTCCTGCAAGAAGAAATTTTGTTACTGATCCAGGTACACATACATTACTAAGAAAACATAATAGTTTAAGGTTAACTGTTACTAATTGCCTAAAGTAGAGGATATGATGCTACTGAGGCGGGTACATATTACTAAGAAAACATAATAGCTGAAGGCTAATCAATAACTGCTAATTGTTTTGGGCTTACATCTCACCATTTTTGAGTTGCATCTCATCTAGTTGTTGTCTCAGTGATCCATCATAGTACTGGAGCAACTTGCTACGTGATTCATTACGAGATCGACACATATCCATGTAAGGCAAGAGACTCCCTTTTGCATGTATGTATACATAATGTCAGCAATGAGATTTGTATGTCAAATTGCTAACGGGGGGAGATTTTCTATCATACCTTGTTTCCACAGTCGGCGCTGATGAAAACCTCTCGTTTTGGATTCATTGGTGTGTAAGAGGTTCTCTTAGCAAGAGAGCGTTGGCTGCCGTAAAGAAACATGGGTGGGCTCACCGGATACTGGGGGGCTTCGCCGCTGGTTGTAAATAAATCTAGGAATAATAAATGCGAGCACCAGGACTTGAACCCTGGTGGGCTGGGGATACCACAGTCCCTCTAACCATCCAATCATAGGTTGGTTCGTGCCCATGTCCAAATGTTATATGCAAACATTTTGGGGGAAAAGTCCAACAATTTTGACATGCGCAAAAAAAAATGTTTTTTTAACACAGTACAGACGCAAGTGCTCAACTGATCATACATACGCGCATACACTCACCCCTATGGACACACACGCACACCCTATTATGAGCACCTTCGATAGACTGAGCGGGCATATCGTCTTGAGATTTACGAAGTCACTATATGCGCCTCGAAGTCGACGGGAACGTCTCCTCCCACTGAAAGGCATCGCCGGAAATCCTGAAATAAATCCTGAAATAATGTGAGAAAAAAAAGGTTGAGTGACATTTTTATGTCATTTTTAGAGCAGTGAACTTTTTTTTTCCGTCGTGCAACAGAGCTATTTCATTGCACAGGAAAATTGTCAAACATGATTTGAACACTAACAAGAACATGCACATAGAATTTTGTAAGTTTGTTTGTTATTTATTTTGAGTATACCATTCATCACAGGAGTATATGGCCCCGAGGCCCAAAACGCCAAAAAAAATTGAAGAGTTGGAAGAAAAGATTTGCTTTGTCGGGTGCTCACTGTTCTCAGCAGCAGGCCGGGTCTGTTTTTCTTTGACATGCACGTTTTCACGTATGAATGCTCTCGCATTCTCAAAAAAAGAAAAAGAAAAACGTATGAATGCTCGCCGTCTCGTTTCCGATCCGTTGCTCGAGGCAACACATTAATGGGCGATTCATGAGGACTGGGCATTTCATAGAATTTTGCGAGTTTGTTTGTTATTTATTTGATTTTTTAGAAGTTTGAATTTATTATTTATCCCAAGAGTATATGGTCCGGAGGCCCAATGCACATCGAAGAGTTGGAAGAAAATATTTGCTTTGTCAGGCGCTCACTGGCTTTTCTCGACATGCACGTTCTTACGTTGGGCTTAGAGCATGGTTAATAAAAGAGGCAGCAGCCGGCTCTATAGCCATGTCCATGTCATCTATAGTCTTCATAAAGCCAAGACCATATAATAGGATAGCTATAGGTTGGCTGATGGATTGGATTTAACAATTAACATTTGCATGCTGGGATTGGGGGGAAAGGTAGAGCGCCAGCTCAGGCTGCAAGCGAGCTACTGTGCCTCGTATCTTGCGTACAGGCGGGCGACTACTCAAGCGCCGGCTCTGCTTTCTCTCCTCACTTCTCTCTCTTCCACCTAGGATTTTTATGACATGGCAAGTCTTATAGCCTGCTGAGTAGGACTTATTATACTTGCTCTTAGTAGTTGTGTTCTCAGGTATGAATGCTCTCTTTGCCTAAAAAAAACGTATGAATGCTCTTTCCTTCCGCTGCTCGTCGTCTCGTCTTCCAATCCCTTCGCGTTGCTCGAGGCGACTGCATTAATGGAGGAATGCGTGGGGACTGAGGACTAGACCTTGTGTTATAAACTGCCTCTCCGTCGTCTTCCTCTGCCCTCAAGCCGAGAACGGAGATGGCCTAGGGAGGGCTCCCTTCTGTAACTCTGTGCGCTCGTGCCCGGTCGAGTGGTTCCGTGCGAACTCACTGAACCACGGTGTGCCGTCGACGAGGCCCGGCGGCTAGAGGTACGTGAGGTTATCTTTTTCATCTTCTTAGCTGATGGCGATCTTGCTTACTACGCGTTCATCTCCTCGGCAGCCGCGGCGCGAGCCACCTGTTCGACGGAATGGCTGGCAGCAAGAAGGTGGCTGCGGCCGGCGGCAAGGACCGCTTCGAGGACCTCCCGGAGCATGTGCTCGAGCTGCTGCTGTTGTTCCTGGACGCGCGAGATGTCGTGAGGACGTCCGTGCTCGCTCGCCGCTGGCGCGACCTCTGGAAGTCGGTGCCGGTCCTGCGCTTCCGTCCTTCTTCCAAGTTCGGATGTGCTGAGAACTTCAACAATTTCGTGAATATGGTGCTCGAGTGCCGTGATCAGACCTCACCTCTTCGTGAATGCCATGTCCATTCATATCTGGATGGTGAAGAAGACGAGACACACCGTGATGTTGAATCGTGGGTACAGTATGCTGTCTCATGCCAAGTGTCGGTGCTTCGAGTTCTGATGTGGGGTGATCATCATTGTAATTTGGGGCTATCCAACGACAGCGTCATCTCCGAGCACTTGACAAAGCTAGAGCTTTATGGTGTGGACTTTGAGGAAAGCCCTCTAGATCTTTTGAGCTGTCAGGCACTAGAGGTTCTACATATAGATGGTTGTTGTCTCAACCCTGGGGGTATCTTACCCAAATCTTTACGACATCTGAAAATCGTACATTCAATCCTTCTTTCCATGCATACGCCACGGAATTGTCTTTCTACTCCAGGTCTGGTCACCTTTGAACTACAGCACTGTGAAGAGTGGACTCCGATTCTTGAGAGCATGCCATTATTGGCAACATCATCTATCATTATTGGCTTTGAATGCAAAGATAATTGTGATAATTTTAAGTACCTTGGGAATTGCGGTGTTGAGCCATGTGAAGGATGATATGTAGAAGATGATTGCTCTGTGCTTCTTGAAGGTCTGTCGGGCGTTACGAATTTAACGCTGATAAGCAAATATTCTATGGTATGTTTTATCTTTTGCTAACGCCTTGTTTTGATTGCCATCCAACATCATCCTTGTATCAAATATCAATGAATAATCAAAGTATGAATGTCAAACTTGTTCCTAATATCCAGTTAAATGTTTTTCATGAATCCACTCTTTCTTGTCATCATCTTTCTATGCAGACATCTCCTAGAATAGGGTTTTGAAGATGAGAGTTCATTACAGTTTATTGATGGTTGATAGCCATTTTAGTTTATGCAACACTTTAGACAGTATGGGTTAATATACATTCCTTGTTTGAGCAAACCAAAGACTTGTAAAATCTGGTTCGTGTTTCTCTCTATCTGCTCATAATTAGTTACTTGAGATCAAAGCTCAAGAGGTCTTATTCAACTCATCATTATGGACTCATGTCTCCTAAAGTTATAACTTTAATTGTTTTTTAATTATCTACATTTTGTTAAGATTTTCAGAAAGGACTTAAAATGGCGCCCTGTGTTTAGCAAGCTAAAAACTGTGTTGCTCAATGAATGGTGTCTGACTGCAAACTTCACTGGACTACTTCACTTTCTTCAGCACTCGCCAAATTTAGAAAAGCTCGCCCTTCATCTTCAAAATCACAGGGTATATGTTTTTTCATATATGATAGCTTTATACTTGAAGGTACCCTGTACAGCTGATTCATTTGTGTAAAATGTTATGTTTGTGACAGAAGTTTGACATTGAATCAAGTGAAAGCTACAACCCATCAGAATATTTCTTGGTGTCGAAGCATCTCAAGGTAGTTGAAATCCATTGTTGCAGGGAAGATAAAATGATTTGTCAAATTGTGAAGATCCTTTGTACTCATGGAGTGACTCCTGCACAAATCAACATCAAACCTTTTTAGTATCCCTGTAAGTAGCTATTTTACAATTCACCAATGTTTATGTAGTCTGCATGTGTTAGTGGAATCAAATACTGAACCTTAAATTATATTTAAATTTTGAAAAGTAGACGTTGAACTGTTTGTATGTTTAGGAATGAAAAAACTCAATTAGAATGTTATATCATCTCCACTTTACATATGCTACTGAAAATTCCATTAGGCCAAAGTAAGTGGAAAAGTTAAAATAAGCACATAACAATTTGAGGTATTTTCACTATTTAGGTGAAATTAATCATTTAATAGCACATCCTTCCCATATCTGCATAACGAGATCAAGTTGTATGTTCACCCAATCTTCCAAAACAATTTCTTATACAGTATTAGCTGCACTTCAGCGCCGCTTGCTATCTGATCGTACCTTCTCGTGTTTTAATCTGCACTTTACGTGCTCACTGTGTGTTTTATTATTTGTGCAGACTTCGGTTTCGAGCGGAGGGAGCTGGATGACTAAATCAGATGGTTTGCTATTCCTGGTTATTCAGACTTCCATGTGCCTGAATTAATCTTGGTAGCATCAGGTTGCTGTGTTTTGGCTATCTGGACCGTGCGCTTGTCCCTTTTCCATTCATATGAAGTCATGTTGCACGTTTACCCATTTACTGAACTCCTTGTCAGGCCTCAACTGGTTTACATTTTGAAGGCCTATGTTCTATTTATTTGTTTCAGAAACCTGTGCATCTAGTTTAACTTATAAATCATTGTCCCTGTTCTTTTATAGTCAGTAGCTTCCATGACGCCCTGACGTTTCAGTTTTGTTGTTGTTGTTGTGGTGGTGGTGGCGGTGGTAGTGGTGATGACATAAAACACATCTAGTTCGTGGCTTCGCTTACACATCTTTGGTTTTCCGCACTTGCTAACCATGTTTTATTTTTCCTAATTGTGTTCATTCAGTTACACGAGACCTGACTGAGATTGATGTGCATGCCATTAGCTATACATAAGTAGTTCAACACTTCCATTATAACACCAAGGTAGCATTAGTCTACATTTTCTGTTAGCAATGGTCAATGCAAGCTATGTTGCTGGTTGTGGCTTGCTTTTGGAGTAACAACCTGGTGTGTTGAAACTTGTCTGACTTTCTTGGTGGGTCAAGCATGTCATGGAATAGAATTATTCCTTTCCTGGGAAGATATTAGCGTAAGAAAAAGATGAGAAAAGGAAGAATTGAATGGCGACACAATTCAATTTCTTGGAACATGTTGTATTCTTCTGCAAACAAATGGAAGGGGGGCTATGCATGTGACTCGCAAAAGGTCATGTTAAAATGGTTGAATTAGGATCCTTCAGGCTGTCTCCTACTTCTCATGTCTTTCATCGCCAACCCTGATGTAGGCTTTGCCCTCCACCTCTAGGCCGTATCCGGCTACTCCCCCGACCCTGTCATCATGCCAGTGAGGCAGTCGCCCGAGCTCTTCTGCGCCCGTCCTTTCTTTTGCGATTTTCAACTCTGGTCTTGTTCCGAGCACACTTCGGTGTATTTTTGTTGAGTATTGAACACTGGAAGTTATGTTCTGTTGGTAAATTGTCGGAACTGGCAGACAAGAATCTCTTGTTCCAAACAAGAAGACAATAATCTGGCTGTATTCATATTTTTCTTGCTCGCTCTGCTATTGAGCTCGAGCTCATTTGAGCCCGGATGAACAGTAAATTCATAAAAAAATTCAAAAGAGTTCAAAAAAAAATCTGATTTTTTTGTGGTGTACTTTGGCAAATTTTCATCATGAGATCACATTCTTGGAAGGTGTGGCAAAAAAAATAAAAAAACGGTGTCAAGTAGCATTTTCAAAACATCGTTTTTTTTTTGTCACGTATATGCAGCCAGGCTCACCCTCAAGAAGACACTCTAGAGCACTACACTGGCTTCGATGAATCACAGCTAATGTAAGCATCCACGCTACTGGCTTTACTGAAATTTCTCGTCATGGACCTTTTCTGTAATGATTTCAGTCGAGATTTCGCAAAGACCTCACGCTCGACTGCTCCTAATTAAAGAGCAAGTTGAAGGTGGTGTATTACGATTGCACAGATGACTACTAGTATTAGGATTTCGTGGTCAGTCCCTGCGACACACCTTGGTCTTGGTGTATAACTGTATATACATGTGTCTTCTGTTCTTCATAATTTGAGCCAGATGATTTAGATCATTGTGCACTAGCAGAAAATACAAGATGCAAGTGTTTGATGTATATGTCAGATGTGATATTATAAACAACTGTTTTTCAGATTGAAGTTTGCAGATTCCACAGCAAATACTTGTGAGTATTATGTCCAAAAATGTCACGGCCTGCTAACGCCCTGGCTTCTCTCTATTAAAAAAAGGACCCCGATAACTGCCACACGTGTGGTGTATCGGATGGTTGTGCCGCACGTCCTGTGTGGCACGGAGACGACCCCGTCCACACGACCGTGTCTGGGCGCGCGCAGCCACAGCCCGCACGTCCGGTGCAGCGCGATCGCCCCGCACGAGCGCGTCCGGGCGAGCGAGCACGCGGCCCGCACGACCCGTCTCGGCCGTCGCCCCTCCCCGCCTGCGAGTCACACGCCCCGCGTGTCAGTAACCACGCATCCCGCCGCGATTGCCACGGTCCGAACCCTCTTCAGTTGCCATGTTGCTCAACTGCAGTTGCCATGTTGCTGAACTACAGTTGCCATGTCGGACAACTACAGTTGCCATGGTTGCTCAACTGCAGTTGTCATCTTAGGTCAAGTGTCGGATGCCATTTTTGGGCAACTGCAGCTATTGCCATGTCGGACAACTACAATTATCATGATTTGGAAAACTTTAAGAGTTGCCACCTACTAACAATGGACAATTGCCATGTAGCACTAAAAAACATGGCAAAAAACATGTTGCGGGTAAAAACCAAGCTTTACTCATTCAAACTCCACAGTTTGTGGGATACAAAACGGATCGTGCGGGACTGACATCCACAAATGCCGCCCTTGATCCAGCGATTGAGCAAACTTGGCTAATCTATCGGCGTCGTGATTTGCCGCTCTACTTTCAAACATGAAATTACAATTAAAATTTAAAGCTTTATTTCCGTGATAATAGCTCCATATCTTGCGCTGCTTCCACCCTGAATATCGCATACGACCTGCTTGGAATCGGATGCGATGATGAAGCTCTGAAGATGAAGATCCATTGCTAGTGCAAGGCCCTCTCTGCATGCCAGTGCCTCCAAAGTAGCCACATCAATGATCCCATTGACTACCAACGCAGAGCTGCCAAGGAAGTCCCATGTACTGTCTCGACATACTGCCGCCGATGCTCCCCTTTTTTGCACTTTCGAAACTGCAGCATCTACATGTATTTTTGCATACCCTGGAGGGGGTGCTTTTGCCTTTACCACTTTAGGTTTTGCTGCAGCCTGTGCCTTCTCCATTTGAACTGGTAAAAGGTCGAGCTCAAGGATGAACCTGGAGATGAACTGGTGAGTTGCGGCCGGACTTTGGAATATTTGTTCAGTAAATTGCCTTCCTTCTTGCCCACCATATAGCCCAAAGTGTCACAGATAAACGGATAAAAGCTCCATGGGATAAAGAATCAATCATGGCAAACAACCACTGTTTTGCATGCGGTTCCGTCGTCGCACAGAGATGTTCAACTAGCTCTCCATCAACCAATGCCCAAATACAACGGGACATCGAGCACTCCAGAAGAGATTGTCGCCAAGAATCTGGGGCTCCGCAAAGCCCACACGCACTTGAGGTAGCCATATTTCTGTGCGCTCGGACATCCTCGGTAGGAATGGATTGCTTGGCCAACCTCCAGAGAAACATTCTGATCTTGCCTGGCACACGGATCTTCCACAACTTCTTCCATGAATCAGCCTCTCTATCTGAGCTAGAAGATCCCGCTGTCCCATCCAGCCACGCCCCTCTTCTGTATTTTGTTTCTACCATCATCCTGTAAGCCGATCTTACCGAGAAACAACCGTTCTTCTCGAAGAACCATGTCCATGTATCTGGAATATTGCTAGTGCATACCGGTATCTCCAAGATCGCT